GCCGCAGGCTGGGCCTGGGGCGACTAGGGGTGCGGCGTGGAGCCTCCCGGGGCACGCAGGCAGCTTGCAGCGGGGGTGGCCGTTCGGGGCCGGCCGTTCGGGGCCGGCCGTTCGGGGCCGGCCGTTCGGGGCCGGCCGTTCGGGGCCGGCCGTTCGGGGCCGAACTTCCCGGACCCAGCCCGGGAAGGGCAGCGGTCTAGCGAGTTCTAGGAGGGCGACCTGGCGGCAGGAAACTTAAAAACAAAACTTGGCTTTCTGAAATCGCTCAGATTTTAAACTGTTTTTTTTTTTTTTTTTTAACTTTCCGGGCCCCTGAGCACAGGGAGCCTCCTGGCCCTCCGCTGAGGTGTTATTTAAGCAGTGTGTGTTTAATTCGTCCAATTAATATTTATTGAGCGCCTGCGGGGAGCAGAGCATCTCATTAAGAAGCTGAAAACCGACAAGCCTTAGTTTCTTTAGCAGAGCAGGAGAATAAATTATTCAGCTTTCTCTCGTAATGAGGAAAGCCTGCCTCCGGATGATGCAGTGCAGTTTGTTCGAGTAGCGTTGTTAGCTGGCCTCGAGGTCATCCGACCCTGTGTACACTGCGGGTCCCGCGCCATCCTTACGACTGCGGCTGTTTGAGCCCGTTGCTGCAGCCACTGTGTCAGTGATAGGTCTATACATTTGCAGTTCTAAAAGAAAAGTTACAAGACCAGAGAGGGAATTTATTAAAAAAACACAACTTTTCACTGAGAAAGAAATTTAAGTGTGAAGAAATATTAAATTACCTGTTTCAAGTGACCGAGACCATTGTCTTTTTTAAATAAGTTAATTTTTGCCTGATTTTGAGTAATATGTAAAAATCATCAGTAATTTCACTGTCAAGGAATGCTGCTATTCTCAGCTGCCCTCCAGCCTGCTGGGACTCATGGGAAGCCCATTACAGAGTAGAACGGCTCCATAGGGTCTTCTTGGCTGTAACTTTTACCTAAGCATTTTGCCAGGCCTTTCTTCAGGGAGCAGTTGGGTAGGTTCAAACTGCCAACCTTTAGGTTAACAGTGGATTATAAACCCTGGAGGCCACCCAGGCTCCTACTGAGGAAGAACCCCTGTTAATATTTATGGATGTTTCTTTATAGCCTTTTTAAAAGCATGTATCATTTCATTTGTGTAGTTTTTCCTTGTGCATAACTGCTTTCCTTTTTTCTTTGACAAAATTCTAAATCACAGTAGTTGTATCTGGGAAAATACAAATGCACAAGAGTGTGCATTGCTGCTTTAGTTAATAAAGCAGGAAATTATCAACCCGAAGTTGAACAAGGAGAAATTGTTAAATTGTGGTGTAAACATAAAAACAGCCACCTATTCGTACAGTAAACGTTTGTTGAATATGATGGTGAATGAAACAGACATTGGGAAGTGCTCTACATGTGGTAAGTGAGAAAAGCAGCCAAGTATTTCCATTCAATGAGCAATAATTGATGAATGAAAAATAGGAATGAGACATGGAATTTATTCTCGAGGAGTTTATAATCTATTAGATGAACTGAGAAAGAGTATTTTAATGGTTCAAGTAATACTTTTTTGTTTGAACCAAAATGATAGAAAATGCTATAAACTCTGTTCAAAGTTGGTCCACTCCATAATTAAAATATTTTTCTTTGTATACACCCTGCTGATTTTAATTTAATTATCTCTTTAAGATACATCTTCTGATAATTACTTCCGTCCTTCCTAAGAAAGAGACATCCCATTTTGCAAAAGGACATAAGCATGCCTTGTATCCCATAAATAATGAGAGGAAGGGATTCCTCTTCCTTACTCTGCATTCTGATGAAACTGAAACATAGATCAGCTAAAGAGCTTGCCCAATGACAAACTGCATGCCTGTGGCAGAGCTTAGAATAATATCCAGACCTATTTTCCAACCCACTGTTAGATATTTTTTCACCTTGGAATTGGTTTATTTTGCATAAAAAGTCTTAAGGGCTGGGAAAGTAGAATAGGTTACAGTGGTAGGCTACTTACATCCTTCTTCAGTTAAGACACTTCCTGATTTTTTAGGGTAATTTGGATTATATTCATATTTCTGTAACTGTATGGAAATAGACCAACATACATGATGAAGGAGTCCCAAGATATGCCTTATGATAATTATGGGCATGAGAATGGTAAGGTGGTATCTAGGGAGTACTCCTGTCTGCAGTGTTCGATTGGTTGGTCGCCCAAGTTTTGTCCACCTCTTACAATATTACCACTTACAGATTTTCCTTAGGATTCTTGTTTATGAAAAGCTCTAGGGAAAAGATAAAGTAGGTTCATAACTGATATCCTTTTGTCTTTTACTTGTATTTGACTGCAATCATAAATAAGCAAATTTAGGCATTTGAAGATATGATTCAAATGCATCAAAGAAAACAAGAAGACTCAAAACTCAAAATATTAGAAAAGAAAAAGAAAACCTGTGTTTAGGGTTTGGATTGTATTTTTCAGAAATAGGATCGTGTTGTATGAGGAATTGCTTGAATGGGAGCATTCCTGGGTGGGTCAATGCTCGGGGGAACCACCGTCACAGTCAAAAATGCCCGTATATTTGGTAGACGTTAGTGGAGCACCCTCTGAGTGCTGGTTGTTACTAAATAGAAATGGGATACAACGCTGAACAGCATGTCGTGAGGGCTGTAAGATTGGAGGGAGAGGCGGGGCCCCGTTTTATGAAAAGCCTTGTATACCATACTAGGAAAAAAATTAGGACGCTTTTTAATGCTTCAGGGGAGGCAGTGAAAGGTTTTGTTGCGAGGTGAAGGGAAGGGGGATCGTGGTGTGGCACAGAGAATCAGATGTGCAGCTTGCCCTGTGAAGGGGGAGGTCTGCTTTGGACCATAAGTGAGACCAGGAGCCTTGCTTTTCTCTCATCTGCTTTTTCTCAACTGTCCATTTCTCACCTTGCTACCAGACTGACCTTTTTAAAGTGCAAATCTGTTTAAAACCTTTCTATGGCTACTCATTTCACACGAGAACCTTTTCCCAAATTTCAGTGATTCAGATGCTGTCTTAACAAGGGCCGTGGTGGTTCAGAGGTAGAATTCTCGACTTGCATACAGGAGACCCAGGTTTGATTCCCTGCCAATGCACTCCACCCTCTGTCAGCGGAGGCTTCTGTGTTTCTATGATGCTAAATAGGTTTCATCAGAGCTTCCAGACTAAGACAGACTTGGAAGAAAGTCCTGGGGATCTGCTTCCAAAAAATCAGCCAATTAAAACGCAGTGGTTCACAGCAGTGGTCCAGTCG